TTTACCTTGCACTCGTCTTGAATAGTTGCAGTTGATCTCGTCGGGTGGTAGCTACCTCTACAAGATCCCTCTATTCAAGTAGTATTTCCCCACGTTAGCAAAGGAAACTCATTTTCCCGGGCCCACTGAATAACTGGAATGCTTCCAGCTCTGGCAGCTGACGTACAAGCATTGTGTTGTGTCACATCGTTTTGGCCTGAATGGATATGCCAGTGTTCGGCGCGTGGCACAGTACAAAACACGGCTGAGTAGAATGTATCTTTGCTTTCTGCTTGACGCTTGTCTACCTCTTGCACTTGTGGTGGATTTTCCACAGAATTGCAGTAAGCAGCGTAGAGTTCCTTCATTTGCTTACAGACAGGGGCCACAAAGGCATAGTGTCCCATCCCAAGGAAGGAAAAGATACCGCGAATCCAAATCTCCTCTTGATCCATCTGACGAAAGTGCATTCCGATGGAGGGAACGTGTTTGGATGAAGACTGGTTGGGATGCGATGTCATGTCGCGGTTGGAAGGGGGCCTTGGAAGATTCATGCGAGTTGTTGCTGGCTCCTACTCTTGTTTTTAGATCGGGTTTACTATGGATTAGAGAGAGCTAAGATGAGAATGGGGACAGAGCTCGAGGGGAGGGCACGACACAGGAACGCAAGGCAAGCAATCAAGTGCGCAAGCAGGGCAACATGGAAACCAAGGAAATGGGTGAAGGCAGGAGTACAGGGAGGAGCAAAGGAGCAAGACTAGCGGAAGAGATCGAGGGCACCACAGTCATCCCAACGCTTGGCAACCTTGAGAGCTGAGACACGGGAGCCTCTCAAACACATTGTCGTGGCACGGGCAAGAGCTATGCTCAACCTTGTCGGATAGTTGTCTACCGTACTGTATGAGTGCTGTCAGCCGTAAACAAAAAAATCACGTTGTGTACATGTAGGCATCAGCGTAGCTATGATAGCTAGTCTGGAATCAGAGTTAAAGTGTAGCGATAGAGTTACAAAACGAAACGGGAAACCCAAACCAATCCCGAGCCTCCCACGTTTCGCCTCCCACCACCAAAGACAACTCGATCCTCGTCAAAGATCTCATCATTTTTCAGGTCTCAGCTTTCAACTCACCACACAAATCAAGGTCCTGTTGCTCCGAGAAACTTCCCAGTCATCGGCGCCCCATCATTCTTAATAACTTTTTAAAAATGGAATCAGACTCCCCCAAGAAGAAGCCTCGAGTGGGAGACGACCCACCCAATGTGCAAGCAGACCCACCCAATGGACAAGCAGACCCACTCAACGACCCAAAAACAACACCCCAGAACGAACCCTCCAAGAAGAGCAAGAGAAAGAAAGATCCAGAAGTAATGGCAGTTCGCAAGAAGATCCAAATGTGTTGTAAATCCAATGATTTGGCCACCGCCTTGGAAGTGTACCGTGATGCCTTGGCCAAGAACATTAAGATTGAAGCACAGAGCTTTTACAGTTTGCTCAATCTCTGCGATGGCTTGGAACGCAATCGGATCCATATTGGAACTCCCAAGCAATATGGACCCCTGAAGAATAATGGCAATTCCACGACAACAAACACGGCGGAAGTGAATGACATTGAAGCAGACAACAGCAAGGCGGATAATCCAGAGGATACGTCCACCGAAGACAAAACGACAACCAACAGCACGGAAACAGCAACCAAAAAACCTGTAGATTTGGAGACTCGTCAAAAGGCTGCCTTTGAAATCAAGGAACAAATGGATGAACAAAAAATCCCTCTGAATGAAACGGCCTACTCTGCCCTGGTCAAACTCTTGTCCAAAGCCAAACAGTTTGAAAAGGCCAATGCCATTTTATCGGAAGCCGAAGGAGTCCAACAGTGTCGGGTCAAGATACGCTTGTACTCTTCTCTATTGATTTCCTATTGTCAATCGGGAGATTTACTCCAAGCCTTGGAAATCTGGGCACGCCTCTCCCAGCGAGAGTTGGTCTTGACGGAAAGAGAATACGCCGCACTCTTTGACTGTTGTGCCACCGTCGGCGATGCCATTGTCATGCAAAAGGTCTTGACGGATCTGTCCGAAGATGTGTTGGTGCCATCACGGGAGACGTGTCGGGCCATTGTGAATTGGTTTGAATCGCCCTTTTCTTCTTCTTCTTCCACTACTGACGACGACAAGACGACAACATCCCAAGCCATTCTCGACAAGATTGTGCTGCCGCCGTCCTTGCAGACCTACCAGACAGAGCCCATTGGTCCCGTTACGACTGTCAGTGCTGGGGACGCTACCCAAAAATGGCAAGTGAGCCACGGATGTGGCATCAATACACAAACGGGCACTCTGGAAGATGGATGTTTAAAGGGAGAACAGCTGCAACAGGTTAAACTCTCCACCGTGGCTTGGCAGACAATGGTGGAAATGAACGAGAAAATTGTGGTCAGTGGAAAACTCGACCAGGACACGTCGCAATTCCAAGGAGGCAAAAAGGGGCGCAAGCGGACACTGGGTGATCGGGATCAGGAAGACCGCAAGCGCATGTGGCAAGACTTTCAAAACTATCTAGAACGAGAAAAGCAACAACGACCAAAAAGCGCTTCGACTACCTTTGATGTCGTCATTGATGGCGCCAATGTGGGATACTTTCAAACCAACTACAAGGGAGCTCCCAAGCATGTGGAATATCAACAAATTGATACGGTTGTGCAACACTTTTTGCAGTTGAACAAAAAGATACTGTTGGTGATGCACAGCCGACACTTTAGTCCCTCTCTCATGCCCAAACGATACCGTCCCATGGTGGCATCCTGGGAACGAGCGGGTATTCTTTGCAAGTCTCCACCGGGAATGAACGATGATTGGTTTTGGATGCATGCGGCCTTGTTGTCGGGACCAGGAACGTTGGTGGTGACCAATGACGAAATGCGGGACCATCATTTTCAAATGCTAGCTCCTCGGTCCTTTTTGCGTTGGAAAGAACATCATCAAGTTCATTTTCACTTTGGCGAGGACGAGAACAAGCCGTACGACAAGAAGCGCCCCCCTCGACGCGACCGAGCAGCAGTGTTTATGTTTCCCCTGGTCTACAGCCGTCGCATTCAACGTGTGGCAGACGGATATGCCATTCCATTGCCTAAAATGGGCGATGAGAATCGGTTTCTGGATGGAACGCATACTGTGGAGGACGATGCTCCCGAGAAAGAGACGTATCTGTGCATACGGCCATTTCCACCAGCGAAATAACACTTCATAATAGCTATACTGTTAGCCATGAACACTATGGCATTGAATGGATAGATCACCACGGACCAGCTAGTGCATTGTTGGCTCATTTTAGAATGCTTGTTGGTTGTGAAACACCTCTCCCCGTGCCGGGATGTCTGGCGAGGCTCCCTTTAGGCAGGTATCGTACCTCGTCGGGCTTCCTGTTGCTCTTGCCGGACAAAATACTCGACCCCTTGGTGTCTCCCATCACCTGAAGCGAAGCCAAGACGATCAATCTTCCAGCTGAGATTGCTGGGCAATTTTTGCGCTGCCATGGAAGAAACCGTTGTGTATTGTTGTCTTGCTCCTCCACCCATTCTCTTCCTTTCGTCAACTTTGGATTTCACGGCGCGGATTGTAGTGCATGAGAGACCGTCCTGTGAATGGGCCAAAAGATGGAACTTCCCACTCCCAGAACAAAGGACCGAAATGCCACTCCCCGAAAGAGCGCTTGGAGTCCTTCCCGTTCGACAATTTCCATAGTAACTGTCTGAATGGATGTCGAATGACTGAGAGTGGAATCCGCCTTGATGCGCGTATTGACCACATCCAAGGGAGCCGTCACAATGGCACAGCCCACTCCCGAGAGTACTCCACAAATACTGGATCCCACGATGGTAATCCTTTCCTCTTTGGGGACCTTTTGAATGTACTTTTTGTAGTAGAAGACACACCATTCGTAGAGTCCAATTTTGGCGCCGGCAAAGGGAATGTCTCGAATCAAATTGACATGCCACCCGGCAAAGAGCCCTCGGTAAATCCCATCGTGTGCCACCACATGTCGAATGGCCGTCACCGCATTGGCATCCAACCCCAAGACGAGTCGTTTCTTCAACACATCGGCCGGAACGCCAATGATGGTTGCGGGAACGGCACACACACACGACACCAATGGCAGGAATCCTTCGGCATGATGTTCTTGCAAGACGGCTTTGGCGGGTGCGTACAGCATAAAGAAACTCCCAAACACGGGGACACTGCCCAATAAAATAGTGGGACCCATGCCGCGAAAGAGAATGCGAAAGCCTGCTTCCCCACCAGCCGCGGGAGCCGTCTGTGTGCGAACTTTGGCACTGTCAATGCCATAGAGCACTCCATCGGCAATGGCTCCTGCCGCAGCGCCTCCCGCCGCTTCGGTCCAAGAGATTTCCCACAGATTCATTCTACCGGTATTATTATGCCTGTCATGATGAGGTGTGCGTTGGCTGTGGAGTTGGATGACAAACGAGAGAAGAAAAAGTTTGGACGAACACGTCAGTCGCGAATATTCGTGACACAAACCAATGCGACCGGCCGAACCCTCGAGCTCTTGTCAATCCCATCGTCTCTTCACAATTCACAACTTTGGAGGAACTCTTCTCGTGCGTCCACGGCAAACAACATCAGTCATCTCTTTCACCATGGAGGAGTCCACGAACGGCATCAACAGCAACAACAGCTGCATTGGGAGCAGCGCTCCTGCTGCCTCTGGATCCGCATCTGGAACTGTCACGGGAGCAAGTGCTCTTCTCACGTCTGGATTGACTACGTCCTTGATGGCCGAAGAAGTACTCAGCTTTTTGGACCCAACCTCTGTTTTGACTTGCATGGAAGTCTCTCAGATTAAGAGTCAGTTTCAATTGACAAACTACTATTGCCGACAACATGGAAGCAAGCTGGGATGTCAAGAGGCTCTGCGAGAAGAGATTCCAAAGAAGTTCTTCTGGTTCGCGAAAGCTGGCAATCATGCCAAGAAAAAGCAGAAAAATATTGAGTGTGAAGATTGTGTTCATCTTGAGCATGGGATTGATCGCTGCCCTTGTTGCGGGGAAATGATGGGCCAGGACTGCATACGTACATGCGACAAGCCTGGATGCGGCAAGAAGGCCTGCGAAACCTGCACTGACAAGGAAGACGCTTTGCTGGACTGGTGCGAAAAATGTAGTGAGTGGACTTGCAAGGAATGCGTACCAGGAGAACGCATGTATTGTTGGGGTTGTGACGAGTACGAGTGGGTGTGTGGCAACTGCAATGCCTTTGATCCACTCGATGTCTACTACAATTGTCTTGATGGTACTTTCTGCGTCCCCTGCCAAGGGCGCGTGATTTGTGCGCATTGCGGTATTGGTAAATGTGAGAGCTGCATGGAACCCTGTGGTTGCAATACCAACTAATTTCTGAATAGAAAAACAACAACAATGCACTGTACCAGGAGAGCTCTCAGAGGGTGTGGGCTTCTTGGATTGGTTCGGATTATGCTGATTTCCTTGACCAATATGTACACTGCGAGCAAACCAAAGGGACACACCAAGGATTTTTTGCTTGTTTATGATCTTAGCTAGCGTCACAATCGGCACTAAATGCTTTTGTTTTCTGGTGAGCGTCGCATTGCTCTCCACCGCCGTTCCGTTCCGGCAGTAGTTCGTTAGTACCGCACCGGTAGGGGATTGTCGCAAGCCTTGCGCTCTTCGTGCGGTTTGTGGGACACGGCGGCACCGTCCGGCTAGAACCGCCTTCTGTATTCTTTGAAGGTCCGCGCCCCAAAATGGGCGGCATGATACTGATAAAGCATGTACTTGCACCCAGCCATCTATCTATCTAGCTAGAATTCATCAAACCAGGGGACTTCACACGGATGATGAGACGTTGACGAGCACTATCATGGTCATCTCTTTTTCTGGTTTGCCATTTCCTATCCATCCCCGACACTACTTCCGGCAAAGAGTAGGACACCCGCCCCGTATGCCAGATACATGCCCAAGAGCATGGTGGCCAAACGTGAGGGGAAGCGCAGACTGTGGAATTCCCCAAACCAAAGCACATCCCACACGGTGGATACCAATGGATACGCCTGTACGAGATCGGCCGTGGCATATCCCACCAACTGGCCACCTTGGAATTGCAGGACGTTGCCAATGGCACAGACCAAACCCGCCAAGAGAGCCATTCGTCGTTCCATCCATGTCGACGACAACCAGTAGCGTCGCAGCAGAGAGGGCATGGATTGTTGCGGTTGTTGTTTCTTCTGAAGCAGCCACAAGTTTCCACCAAAGCTGGCGACCCAAAAGGCAAAACTGAAAATGAAATTGGCCCGAACGACCCGCAACGTTTGATCCTTGTCGTCATCGTCATCAATTGTACCGGTACCGGTAGAAATAGTCCATTGAAAGGGATCATTGACCGCCACGTTAAAGGCAGGCGAGAAGAATCCAAAACACAATCCTCCCAAAAAGGCTACCACGAGACCTGTTACCACAGTGGAAGAATTGGATTGTTTCTCTTGCTGGGTGGAAGCATTGGGAGCAGTTTGGCCTCCTGGTGTTGGTTGTTGGTTATTAGGTTGATGATACTCTATAATTTCAATATCACATGGTTGTTGTTCATTTGGCGCTTCTGCCTTTTGCTGCATCCACGCCAATTGCGACTGTACGGCCATGACAATGGCGAGCAGAAAACAGGTCATGCCCGCAAACAGCCATTGTGGTCGCTTGGTCATGTGCGGTTCCAGCCCGTAATTGATGCCTGTCCCGAGCACTATGGTCATGGATGCCTGAATGGCCAAAACAAATGTGAGGGATGCCTTGTAGACGGCCGTGGCCCATTGAAAGGATAAATTGCCCCAACTGAGGAGTGTCCCGCCCAGCATGGCCGTGGCAACCAGTGGCAGAGGTGGCATGGACAGAACACTTGTGTTGCGGACGACCGTGATGAGAAAGGGGACGCTGGATACCAGAAAATAGGCCGTGGCGTAGTCCAAGTAGGCATGACAGACTGTTTCCAAATGATATGCTGGAGCACCTGGATTGTCGTCGTTGTTGGTGGTGGAAGCAATGTGGTGACTATGATTGGTAGTGGCAGCCCCAACAACAGGTGGCAGAGACGAGTAACCAATGGACGATGTGGTCACGTAGAGCACGGAGCTTTCTTGGTGCTCTTCTTCCTCATTTTCTGATCTTGGCAACAACGAGGATGGATCTTCTTCCGATGCCAGTCGTAGCAATGCGGGCCATGTTCCCAGGCATACCAAGCTCATCAACAGGAGCACAATCCCAACGTCTTCTCTGTTGCTGGAGGACATTTTATTTTTTGGCAGCAACTTGATCAAACTGCCAATTTCACAAGAAATAAATAAGATGGGACCTTGGAAGAAGCCTAATCAATACTGTACTTCGCTCTTGAAGCACTGCATGTCGCCAAGGCAAAGATCTATCGTCATTGCCACATGCTGCTACTTGTTCTGCTTCTGTTGAAGGAAGAAGCTGTGAGAAATCACGTCGACGTTTCAATGAAGCATTGACGGGATTAAAAAATGAGGGTCAATCACAAAATTCTTTTCCTCCAACAACGTTGCAAAAGCCACTGACGTCAATCGCCAAGTGTCACTCGCCCATCCAGCAGCCATCAAAGATCCAAGATCCAAACCAAAACGGTTCTGATTCCATTTTACTAGCTAGTTGTTGCGGTTCAGAAGATCCGATAGAAGACCACCCCGTTGCCATTATCCAGGAGAGTTCCTCAAGATGCGGTTCCCATTGATTGCGACATGCCTGCTGGTGGCTCCGACTGGTGCTTTTGTGGTAGTACAGCCACCCAATACTTCTCCATTGTCATGCTGGCACAAAATGGCCAGTAGCAGCGACGATACTACCGCCCCCACGGTAGTGACCGACGAATCCGCTTCCGACCCCATTTCCAAGGACAATCCTCCTCCCGGTGTCAAATTCATTGAATGTCCAGAAGATGAGGTCGACATGCCCTTTTATACGCTCGGAGTTAATTTGGCCATGCAAGTGGGACAAAATCTGGGGACGCTCTTGACGGATCGAGAATGCGATTTGGTCGCCAAAGGATTTGCCGAACACTTGAAGGGCACATTGACCAAACAAGGATTGGATGGACAAACCATTTTGCAAAATTTTGGACCGGCCGCCAATCAATTATTGCAGGAACGAACCCTCCAACAAGTCGACAACCACAAACAGGCCGGACAAGAGTACGCCGACCAATTTTTGAAGGATCATGCCGCCGCCACACAGAGTGACAGTGGATTGATTTATCTGGAAACACAAGCCGGGACGACAGACGTCAAACCGACGTTGGATTCGACCATCCAGTTTCATTATCACGGGACCATGGCGGTCAGCGGTCAAGTCGTCGATTCGTCCGTCGTGCGTGGGGATTCACATACCCTGCCGTTGAATCAAGCCATTCCAGGTCTCAAGGAGGCACTGTTGCAAATGACGGAAGGAACCAAGGCTACACTAGTCATTCCATCCGATTTGGCCTACGGCGATGCGGGGGGTGGACAAGGACTCATTCCGGGCGGCACCACACTCCAATTCGAGGTCGAATTGATCAAAGTTGTACCGGCCAGTGAAGCTTTGGGCAAGGACGACGAAGCCTGGAATGCATGAGAATGTAATCTAGTCTAACTAAATTGGTATCACTGCAGCTGATCCATAACAAAATTCAGGCAAAACGTGGCAGGTTTCGACTAGTCAATAATAATAGGAGAGCAAACTATAGAGAAAAATTCCTGGATTGATCCTACAAGACATCAACCCAAACCCACACCTAGATTTCCACAGGAGGCAAAATGAACCCGAGTTGGAGTCGTGGCTGGTACCGCCGAGCCGTGGTTTCCCACCCAGGATGCCGCTAGCACTCAACAACCATTTTCTTTGTCAGAGCTAGAGATGCATCAACATCTGCCGAGTCTTCCGCATATCCCCTTTCAGCTGCTCTCATGCAGGTGTCCTTGTTCCAAAGCATTTTCTTGTAGATACCTCAGGACTGCTACTGCTTTTGCAGTCGCAAATTGGTCCCATGGACAGCCATATTCATGGACATATTTCAGGCGACGTTCTGCAGCAACAGAGCATGCCACTGCATCCCATGGGCAGCCCTTCTCGTGAGCATACTTTAGGATTTCCGGATGACTACTCCAAGCCGCTTCGGAGCATGTATCCTTGTTCCATCCACACCCGTTCTGATGCGCATATTTCAGGGCTTCCAAATGCCCACTACCTGCAGCGCCACTGCATGTTCTTTCGTCCCATGGACAGCCATGTTCATGTAGATATCGGAGTACTTCCAACTTTCCATTTCCAGCAGCTGCCGCACATGTGCCTACATTCCATGGGCACCCATTTTCATGAGCGTACTTTAGAACATCCCAATGACCGTTTCTTGCAGCACCCATGCATGTGAGTGCATTCCATGGGCACCCGTTTTCATGTAGATATTGGAGTATTTCCAAATGGCCACGTGCAGCAGCAGATGCACATGTGCCTTGATACCCTGCGTATTCATCCCATGGGCACCCATTTTCATGAGCATACTTAAGGACTTCCAGATGGCCATTTCTCGCGGCACCGTCGCATGTTCCCTCATTCCATGGACAACCATTTTCCTGGGCATACTTTACAATTTCCAGATGGCCATTTCTTGCTGCTCCCTTGGATGTGTATGCATTCCATGGGCAGCCATTCTCATTAGCATACTTTAGGACTTCCAAATGGCCATTTTTAGCAGCACAGAAGCATGTGTGTTCACGCCATGGACAGCCATGTTCATGGGCATACTTAAGGATTTCTAAATGACCATTTTAGCAGCATAGTTGCATGTGTCTTCATCCCACGCGCCCCCTTTTTCATGTATATATATTGGAGTATTTCCAAATGACCACCTGCAGCAGCAGCTGCACATATACCTACTATATAGTCTTCATATAAATCTTCATCCCACGGGCACCCATTCTCATGAGCATACTTTAGGATTTCCAAGTGGCCACATTCTGCATATTTGCATGTGTCTCCATCCCAAGGACAGCCATTTTGATGAGCATACTTTAGGATTTCCAAATGACCATTTTCGGCAGCTGCACTGCATGTACGGTAATCCCAGGGACAGCCATTCTCATGTAGATACCTGAGGACATCCAGATGACCACATTCTGCTGCTGCATGGCATACTAGCTCCTCACTCCAAGGAAACCCCCTTTCCCGGGCCCACTGAATAACTGGAAGTATTCCAGCTCTGGCAGCTCTTGTACAAACACTGTATTGTATCTCGTTGTTGTTGTTGTCAGAACGGAGGATACGCCAGTGTTCATCAGAGCGTGGCACAGAACAAAACACGGCTGAGTAGAACGTATCTGTGCTTTCTGCTTGACGGAGGCCTGGACAGAGGCCTGCTTGTCGCACTTGTGGTGGATTTTCCACGGAATTGCAGTAGTCAGTGTAGCTAGAGATCCTTCATCTTGTAACTGACAGTGGCCACAAAGGCATAGTGGCCCATCCCAAGGCAGGGAAAGATATTTGTGAGCCAAACATCAGTGTTATCGAGGCAATTTTTTTTGTTGTGCTGCCGGCTCTGGCTTTTGTTTTGCCGTCTTCTCTTGCTCAAGCAGCAGTGCCTGGTCGGAACCCAAAGCATGCTTTTCGCTGTGGATCCATGGCTTACGGTAGTTTGCATAATAGAACAATTTTAAAGGATTGGTACAGAAAGTACGGCGGGACCGCTGTGCCGACATCGGCCCAATCCGTACACTACCGCTGTAAAGCCACTGTAGAGCCCCTGTAAAGGATTAGCCAATCAGAATCGTTCGATCTTGATTTCGATGACGTCAGTTGGCTGACGTCAGTCGTGCACACGATTCGCATCTCTGTGTCAGCTCGATCAGTCTCTCCTGGTGTCTCTCGTCGTGTTTTTTCGAAAGACCGACGGAGCAAGCATCCAGAGGATTGAGCGAGATAGTGAAGCAAGACAATAAAACCGAGGTCATCCCATCTGTAATAGTAGCCGTAGAGGTAGAGGTACTGACCGCAGCTGAGGATATAGCCGCTTTCATCGCAATCCTCCAAAGACGATGAGTGCGAGTATGAAAGGGGCGCCGGCTGGTATCGACCACTACATCCGGAACCTGTACTCCAGTGGACGGTTCCCCAAGGTGGACGACAACGGCATGGTGTTCTTGGCGGCTGTTGGCAAGACAGGACATGCCTCTGTGAAAGCTAGGACTCCTCTAGTGGCGGGGAAATTGGATCGGCATTTGCAGAACCATTTCCAACAGGGAGCAGTCCACGGATTCACATCCCCTGTTATGAGAGCCCTTGCACGGAAGGACGAAGCTGCAGTCCCAAATTACGAATTTCTTTGGGAATGGCATTGACAAACGATGGAAGGCAGAGCAACAGTCTCTAGCAGCCATGGAATTTGAGCTCCACAACACCACAATCTGCCAGCCCAACCACCATGCACGGCCCTCAGAACAATTGGAGCAGGAACCAGAGCCCCATATCCCTCTGTCAGGTCAGTGTTGTCAACCAGTGGTTGGATTCTTCAAAAAAAATGACTGCCAAGCAAAAAGAAGTCTTTGATAACATAGTCGAGCACGTAATCGAGCACTATGGTAGCGCCGCCAACACGGACAATGTTGCCGTGCTCGCTGCTGAATCATTCGATCGAATGCACTTCAACATGATGTGGCAGGGCAACGCTGGTCTCAGGGGTAGGTTGAGACCCCATCATGCTAAAGCTTTGCTCAGAGACAAGGGTCAGCTTGTTCAGATGGCCAGGATTAATGAACATGCTGCTGGCAAGAGAAAGGCTGCTCCAAAGCAAGGTGGTCTGACCAAAGCCAAGCTGTTGGACCCACGCACAAGCTTCGCAGACATGAAGGGTTGGGCCAGGGTCCTGGGAAAGTCCATCCCAAAGACAAAGTCGAAGATACAGGAGGCTCTGCTGCCAGAAGACCATGTGTTCCACTCCCACTAGCTAGCTAGCTAGCTTGGTGGTTGGGCCCCAAGGAGCCCAACCTTTATGGTTCAGAGCCCCCTGCGGGGGCTCAACCTTTATAGTACTAGCTTAAAAAATTTCTTAGCACCCTTGGTTGTTTTTGGATACTATAAAACCACGAGTACCTGTTTGTTGCTGTTGCTGTTGCTGTATTAGTGTGTTAGCTGTGTCGCTGTGTTGTGTCCATAAAGTGAATAACAATAATAATACAGGATGCTCCTGCAGGCCTGAAGGACGCAGGACGACCACCCCCGAGACACGACAATCAATCGAAACTACAGATCGTATCAAATCACAGCAAGGGATAATCAGGTGACCAGGTCAGGTGTATGTATGGCCACGCCATACCGGCATCTGCCTCAAGACTACCACTAGCTGGTATACCCGTACCGGTAGCCTGATTTATTGAAGCAATCAAACCTTTTATCATGTCCTGACAGCCTTGGAGGGATAAACCTGGTACCGCGGATCCCCTTCGGCGGTTGGAATTTGTTGCCATCACTCCAATGCGATGCCTTCTGCGGCTCTTGACGCCGCCTCCTTGTTATGCAACGTTGGATAGTATGGCGATTCACGATCGAGCTTCAAATCGATACCTTGGAATCTACTTGCGTTTGGATGCAGTGCAGTACCGGTACAACTACTCCTAGTTTGGAATTCAGAGAAGATACACGTATTTTCAAAGATGGCTGGTTACAAGCTGACAACTTGGATGAAAATTGGACCATTTTGTGGCTCTCAACGAAGTCGCATCCGTCCCGAACTAACGATGACTGAGCCGGAACGAACCGATCTATGCTCGAGTTCCACGCAACACTTTCCCGTGCCACTCGGCACCAGAACTGTGGCTTGATGGGTTGACTCTGTCAATCCCAGTGAAGTATATTTAGAATACTCACTTTTTGCTGCAATTGATAAGTTCCACGCAACACTTTCCCGAACCATGAGAGTCGGTCCTGGCCAGCTCGCACTAAAGTTCGCGTCAAGGCAAAGTAGACTGAAAGGAGCCAACCAGCGAGCGGATTGTAAAGCCAAGATCTGATAGCACAACGACCTTCTCGTCTCCAGGAGGCTAATCAACTCGTCCGGTGCCGCCGTGTCCTCTCAAGTACATCTTTTCTTGCGTATTTCCACTTTTCAAGTGCCGTCTCTCCAGGAGGAAACCCTTTGAAAAGCAGGGAATTCTGGGGGGTTGTCCAGAATTTGCAGAAATCAAGGAGCCACAGAAACAGTTTCCAAGATGTCACCATAACCGCAGCCGAGTCGAGTCAGGGCTATTCCTTATGGCCACCGGGAGATATCGGTATTTTTGGTGCCTGTCAAGCCGACAATCACAACTACGCACAGGGCTCCGTCCATCCGAGCCAAGGAAGGCAGATCTAATTCAAGGTCGTTTGACCAAGAATGGCCTCGGTATGCTGCATGCATACATGTACTTTAGTCAAACGTAACCAAACACGCGGATGCACTGCAAAGAATTTAGTTGCTGGACAGGAAGTAGGTCGGTGGGAACTGGATCTTGGCCTGTCGAAAGGAAAAGATGCGTCGGGACGATTCCTGGGCGGATTGACGCCGCTGGATCTTCTTTTGCTTCAGGAATTCTCGGACCTGCTTGCAGCTTCGTAAACCTGTGACTAAAAAGTCTTCATTGCAGGGACAACCACGTTCATAGGCAAATTTGAAGGTGTCAAAATGTCCCTTCTGGGCTGCCTCGGTGCATGTGTCCTCATCCCATTGACAGCCGTTTTCATATAGATACTTCAAGACCTCATAGTGACCACCACCAGCTGCTGCAGAGCATGCCTTTTCATCCCAAGGGCAGTCATGATCATGGGCGTACTTTAGTGTTTCCAGCTGACCCATTGATGCTGCATGGTAACAGGTTTTCTTGCTCCATGGGCACCCCCTTGCATGGAGAAACTGGAGCACATCCAAATGACCAAATGCAGCTGCAAAGTTACATGTTTTTTCATCCCATTGGCATCCCTGTGCATATGCATGTTGGAGGATTGCAAGGTGCCCCTTGTAGGCCGCTAGTTCACATGCATCATCAATCCAGGGGCAATCGTGTTCATGTAGATACATTAAGATTTCCAAATGCCCATTTCCAATGGCTTGTTTGCAGGTCCATGCACTCCATTCACAGCCATTATTGTGTGCGTACTCAAGAACTTCCGAATGACCTTCTTCTGCTGCATAGTGGCATGTCCAGCCATTCCATGGGCAGTCATTCTCATGAGCATATTCAAGAATCTCCAAATGACCATTTTGTGCTGCTTTGGCACATGTATTTGCACCCCAGGAGCAGCCATTTTCGTGTGCATACATCAGGACTTCCAAGTGGCCATTTTCAGCTGCACCAGAGCATGTGTCTACAAACCAGGGGCAGCCATTTTCATGTAGGTATTGGAGGCACTCCAAATGGCCATTTTTGGCAGCATGTTGGCATGCCAATGAAGTCAAGCCACACCCATTTTCATGGGCATATCTTAGGACATTGATGTGGCCATTTTCTGCTGCATAGCGGCACGTCCACATGTTCCATGGGCATCCATGTTCGTGAGCATACATGAGGATGTTCAGATGG